GGTCGCGAGTGAGCCAGCAGAGGTCCAACACCCCTACCTGAGGGCACTGACTCCCTCATCCTTCGTGCTCCTCAGCTGAAGAAGTTGGACCTGGCAGCTGCCGCAGCACACACCTTCTTTGTAGCAAACCCAACACACTTGCAGATGCGGGAGGACATGGCTAAGTACAGACGCATGTCTCGGGTGCGGCCCCAGAGCTTCCGGGACCTGGAGACACCGCCACACTGGGTGAGACCCCTTGGCCAGATACACAGGGTTCACTGGACTGGGACCTGTGTGGCTCAGGCATCAGGAGACCTGGGTACTGTCCTCAGTAAGCCTGGATGGAGAGTCCCTCTCTGGGGCTTGGTTTTCTTCCCGAGGATCACTAAAGTCCCTTGTTCAACCATTCTGATCCCGAGGCCCACCCTATATTCCCCAAGGTGAAGTGGGACCTGGAGCCCACACCCCAGATGAGACCAACACCCCTCCCTTTCTTTCTGCCTCCCAATCTTGTCTGGCACCCTGCCTCCAGGAGCTCAGGTGACTGCCCACTCCCCTCCCCCATAGGCAGCCTATGACGATGGCCTGGAGCTACTGGGGCGCCAGGAGGCAGGACTGGCACTGCCCAGGCTAGAGGAGGCCCTGCGGGAGAGCCTGGCCCAGATGGAGAGCTGCCGGGCTGGCTGTGAGGGGCCCGAGGAGCAGCAGAGGGAGGAAGAGGAGGAGGAAGGGGCCGGGAGCCAGGGGGGCCTCTATGAGACCATTGCAGGTAATAGGGATGCGGGTAATGGGGATTCCCGGCCCCACAGAGAGGAGCGTCACAAGCTCAATGGGTGACGTGTGTTGTCTGCAGGGCACTGGATTCGGGTCCTGCAGTGCCGGCAGCGCTGTGTAGGGGACACGGCCACGCGTCCTGGACGCAGCTTCCCTGTCCCTGACTTCCTTCCCAGCCAGCTGAGGCGGCTTCACGAGGCCCATGCTCAGGGTCAGTTGGGGAAGGCTGGGCGCTGGGGGTGATGTGGGTTGGAAACAGGGGAAGTGAAGGTTTGTCTCTGATGATATCCTGAGCCCCATCTCTCCATCCCTCCTGTCTGTCTCTGGATCTGTAGTTGGTCAGGAGGACTCTCATTTGCTCTCCTTTGGTGCCATTGTGGGAAGCTCAGGAGATGGGTCCCAGGGCTCCTTCTGCCCTTGCGGCTTCTCACCTTCCTTTAACTCCCTTCTCTCTTCCTCCCCTTTGAACTCTGCCTATCCAGCTCAGGTATGTTTGAGTAAGCTTTGGAAAGAAGCAATGGATGAGTGTGCCTGCCAGTTGGGATGGGGGCTTTGGAGTTGTTTGGCATCGGGAGACCACCTTCTCTGGCTCTGCCCAGGGACCACTGTCTTTCTCAGTCTCTGTGCCCCACCCTGCCCTATTACTGTATCTCCAGTGGGGAATCTGTCCCAGGCTATGGAAAATGTCCTGAGTGTTCTGCTCTTCTACCCGGAGGATGAGCCTGCCAAGAAGGCTCTGAACGAGTACCAGGCCCAGCTGGGAGAGCCGAGACCTGGCCTCAGGCCAAGAGAGGTAACCCTCTGCTCCATACTTACCCTAAATCAAATAGACCTGAGAAGTAACCTGGACTCTGTACCCCCTTTTAGTCACCGCAGGCAACCCCAAGTCCAGCATCTGATTTGTCTCCCCTCCCTGCTCCCCACTGCAGACTCGACTTTCTGAGTCCAGGTGGCAGCCCATCCCCCCTTGCCTTCACCTCACCCCCCTTATGTGCCCTCCTGTGCCACAGTCATATGCGCATAACCCCCCCCACCCCCCACCTTGAGCCCAGATGCCCTAAAGCTGTTGAACAGGAAGGCACATGGAAGGGTTTAGGAGCATGCAGGCTGTCCTCTAGAACCGGGGGCTGCCAGGCTCTCCTCCAGCCTTAACTTCCCTGCCCCACTCTACTTCTCCTTGTCTCACCCCTTTCTCCCTGCTCCCACCCTGCCTCAGGACATCCAGCACTTCATCCTTCGATCCTTGGGGGAGAAGAGACAGCTCTACTATGCCATGGAGCACCTGGGGGCCAGCTTCAAGGATCCTGTGAGTATCTCCCCTTGTCCCCATCCTGCCGCTCAGTGCTCCCCCAGGAGGAAGAGAACAGTGATGCCCTACATTTGTGTCACTGTGGTTTGCAACAAGGCTTCCCATTTCCCACACCCCTGGGAGGCTTGGAGAGGCGTCTGCAGTATCTCAGGGACAGAGGCAGGTACCTGTAGGAGAGGGCCACTTTGGGGTCATGCAGGCCTAAGTGTTGGTCTCTTCTCTGCCATAAACAAGCTCTGGACCTTCACTTGCCTCAGCCTCAATTTCCTTACCTGTAAAATGGGCACATCAGATCTATCTCATAGAGTGCTTGACGCCGTATCATTTGCTACATGGTAGAGAAGGCTCTGCTCTTGCTGCTGCTTTGGTTACTGTTCTTTGGTGGTAGTTATGAGGAAACTGAAGGGCAGAGGGTTTGTTCACTGCTAGGACAATAACGTAAGGCATTTTCTCAACCGTCTTGGCACCACTGACATTTTTTACCTGATCATTCTTTGTAGGGGAGAGGAAGGGGGCTTGCCTAGGCATTGTGGGATGTTCAGCAGCTTCCCTGGCCTCTGCCCAGTAGATGTCAGTAGCATTCTCTGAGTCATGACAATCAAAAATGTTTCCAGACGTCGCCTAATATCCCCTGGGGGGGGGTTGCAAAATGTCCCTGGTTGAGAACTGCTGGCTCAAAGCGTGGGCTCTAAAGCTAGTTCAGTATGTATGTATGTATGTATGTTAAGTAGGCTCCACACCCAACATGGGGCTGGAACTCGGGACCCCAAAATCAAGAGTCACATGCTCTACAACTGAGCCACGAGGTGCCCCTCTAAAGAATCCCAAATCTGTCGCTTACTAGCTGTGTGATCTTGGGCATGTTACTTTACCTCTCTGTGTCTTAGAGTCTTCAACTGCAAAATGGGCACGTTAATACAATGTGTTTCATTAAAACTATCGTGAACGTTACATGATGAATCTCCATGCACTCCACTTCCGTGGATGAAGCTGTTAGAAAAGCACCTGACAAATAGTGCTTCGTGGGCAGTTGTTGCTAGAGTTTGGCCCAACTCCTGGGGCTCCCGACAACGAGTCCAGGGCTTGTCCCACCTCTGCCTTCCTCTCTGGAAGCAGGAGGACCTTAATGTAGATCAGAGTCTAATAATGTCAGGGATTTGGGCTGGACTTGGGTGACGGCGCTTTTCCTGACTCTCCCAGGATCCCTGGACCCCAGCAGCTGTCATCCCCGAGGCACTGAGAGAAAAGCTCAGGTAGGAGACGCCCTGTGGTAGGAGGGGCCTGGCTGGAGCTGGAAGGTGGGGGAGGGCATCTTGGGAGGTCCGGGGAAGATGGGTCCGGACTGGCGGGCACATGCACTGAGCATGTCTCTCACCCCTGAGAGAGGATCAAGAGAAGAGGCCTTGGGACCATGAGCCGTCACAGCCAAAGCCCTTGACTCACTGGAAGGGTAGGTTTCTGGGAGAGCAGGAAGCAGGAGCCCCGAGGGCCTGGGGGGCCGCCAGCCGCACGGCTGGGCCTGCCCTCAGGGGGAGCTCAGCCCCCTCTGCCCTGTCCCTTCCCCCGCAGATGTGCTTCTCCTGGAGGGAGTAACCCTGACCCAGGATGCAAGACAGCTGAATGGGTCCGAGCGGGTGGTGTTGGACGGGCTGCTCACCCCGGCCGAGTGTGGGGTGCTGCTACAGCTGGCCAAGGTAAGAAGACCTGTGAGTAGGTGGCACCGTCGGCTAGTTAGGGACCTCAGGCACAGCCCGCCTGCCCCCTGTTCTGCCCTCTCTGGTTCTCCAGAGGCACTGCCCTTGTCCCCTACCCCGCACGGCGGTGGACACGTTCCGTTTCTCTCAACTTAGCCGGCCTGGGGTGGATGGATACTCTTTACAAAGGAATTTTGCTAGAAATTGGTAGGAAGAACAAACCAAAAAACGTAAAGGCATAAAAAAGGGTGAGTGTGCAGGTGAGAATTCCCTGGTTAGCCAAGAGTTTAATTATCGGCTTGGCCAGTGGTGGAGCGGACATAGAGGCTACTTTCCCCATCCGTTGCATCCCCTGCTGGTTTGGGTTGAATGATCCATATTCACTAGGTGAAGCCCGCCATTTGGGGAAGCTTCCATCTTCATTCTAGGTTAACCTTCCCTCTACACACACTCACTGAGTATCTGCTGCATACTCAGAACTACTAGGTTCCAGGGAGAGGGAGATGAGCACAGATGTGCATTCAGGAGCTCACTGTACAGAGAAGGAATCAGACGTGGAGACACATCACTAGAGCGAGGGCTAAGTTTGCTACAAGAAGCATGTACCCATCCAAATAGGAACGCTGAAATGCCAAATCACAGAAGGCTTACGGGGGAGGGGGGGAGCATTTGAGGGGGTCATTTGAGCTCAGTCTTTTTTTAAAAATTATTTATTTATTTATTTATTTGAGAGAGAGGGTGCACACACGCCCATGTGCGGTGCGTGCACATGGCAGGGGAGGGGCAGAGGGAGAAGCAGACTGCCCATTTAGCGGGGAGCTGGCCACAGGCACTTGATCCCAAGACGCGATTCCAGGACCCCAGGATCATGACCTGAGCCCAAGGCAGATGCTTAACCGCCTGAGCCACCCAGGCGCCCCTTGAGCTCAGTCTTAAGGATGAGTTAACAAGGCAGAGAAGGGGAGGAGAGCCAGGCCGTAAGGAAGAAGAATGGGGGGGATGGTCTCTGACAACTGCAGTAGAATACAGGAGCTAAGGGCTTGGGCCAGCCCCAACAGTGGTTAGCTGGGTGACCTCGTGCAATGTATTTTATTTTATTTTATTTTTTTAAAGATTTTATTTATTCATTTGAGACACAGAGATACAGAGAGAGAGAGGGAGAAAGCATGAGCAGGGAGAGAGGCAGAGGGAGAGGGAGAAGCAGGCTCCTCGCTGAGCCAGGAGCCCGATGTGGGGCTTGATCCCAGGACCCTGGGATCATGACCTGAGCCGAAGGCAGACGCTTAACGATCTGAGCCACCCAGGCGCCCCACGTGCAGTGTATTTTAATGTCTCTGAGCCTCGTTTCTTCATCTATAAAATGGGGCTAAATACAGTGGGTTCTTTTGGGGTTGTTGTGAGGACCCTGGTAGTACTTGGTAAGGCTGTTGGAAGAATATAAAAAGCCCTCACGATTAGCTGGCGCTGTGTCATCCGGCTGTAGGTTATCCAGAGGAGGTAGAGGGGAGAGAAGCCGGAGGTGGAGGCACGGGCGAGATGGCGAAGGGCCTTCTGTCCCCTGCCAAGGAGTTTGTGGACCGTGGACAACTTATCGGAGAATTTAAGGAGGGGTTAGGTTTTAAGTCCCCATGCATTAGCAGGAGCAGGGTCTGGAGTCACCATCCTGCAGAACCGGTAGATCCCTCTAGAGGCACTGTGGAAATGCACTGGGAGAGGAAAGCAAGGAGGGGAGGCTTCTGGGGTGATGCCGGAGTGCTACTGCCTTAGGTTAGGTCCTCATTTCAAGGAAATGAAGAGAGGCGGACAGTTGAGAAATATTTAGAAAGTCAAAGATAGAGAAGTTCAGCACTAAATCTATGTGGGAGACAATGGATGAAAGGATGGAGTCAGGGATAACTCCCAAGTATCAGCCCTTCTTTCTGTTCCTCCATCGCACTGGATTCATTCTGGCCTCAGGACCTTTGCACTTGTGGTTTCTGCTGCCTGGAACATTTTTTTCTCTCACATATTCAAGTGGCTTCTTTATATCATTTGCTTTCAATTTAGATGTCATTTCACTCATCAATTAGCTGTCCCCTAACCACTGCCTGGGCACTCTCAAGGTTGTAGCCCTATTTTAATTTTTCAAATACCCTTTATCCCCATCTGAATTGATCTGGTTTGTTTGTTTGTTTGTTTACTCAAAATATAAACCACATGAGAGCAGGGACCTTTTCATGTTCATGGTTGTATCCTCAGTGCCTAGAATATAGGAAGTGCTCAGTACATATTTGTTGAACGAATAAATACAAGCATGGAAGGTTAGATGGCTTGGGTGAGTAGGTGGTCTCTCAGAGATAGGGTTTATACCCAGGGTAACTGGGTAGGGGTTGCAGAAAGCAGACAAAAGAATAGGTGTCAGGAAAGGGACGCCCAAATACCAGGAGACCCCCAGGTAATGAGACTCGTGGAGGTGGTTGGGTAGTTGGGGCTCAGCATCAAGGGTTGTCACATTCTCCAAGAGTGTGTCAAGGGTGTCAGAGAGAGGCACCTCGGCTGTCTCCCCACGTCGAGCCAGCCGGGACCCAGCTGACTCTCAAACTTCCTGCTAGCGCCCTGTTTCTGGAGAGACTCCTCTATCCTTGGCTCATCAGGAACGAATGATCAAGCCCTTCCTGCCCCCTTTCCCCAACGGCTCTTACCCTCTCAGAGGCCCCTTCCCCACTCTAGGAAGCTCTCCAGAGCTCTGGGCACAGCCCCCTCAGCCAGTGGGATTCCAGATCTTTACCAGAGAGTGACAATATAGACCTGAAGATAGTCGTTCTGTGGGAAGGGGCAGCAGCTCAGGGAAGGGAGCCAGCATGGAACCCTGGGGGCTTCTAACCTCTTCCGGGGAGTGGGAGGATTGGAGGAAGGTCTTGCAGCCCTGTGGGCAGTGAGGTGGAGGATGGCTGGGACCCGGGGAGTGAGACTCCCCAGCCACCTCTCTCCCTCCACAGGACGCTGCCGAGGCCGGAGCCAGGTCTGGCTATCGTGGCCGCCGCTCCCCTCACACCCCCCATGAGCGCTTCGAGGGGCTCACAGTGCTCAAGGCTGCACAGGTAAGAGGAGGCTCCCATGCTCTGGTCTGATGCCCAGAACCAGAGAAGAGGGTACGCAGGAGGCTGGGTGCCCGCGCCTGGGCCTCTCCCGTGGACTGAGAGCACCTGAGTCCCCTGCCTAGAGTTGAGGGCAGTGGGAGGGGAGGTGTTCTGAGACCTCGGGACCTGGGTGATGGTCACGGAGCCAATGGAAGGAGCAGTTTGGGCTGATGGACAGAGCTGGCTGCTGAGACCAAATCCGTGGGTGGAGAGCAATGGAAGTAGGGCAGGGGCTGGGGCAGGGCCACCCTTCTGTTGCCCCCTCCTTTCCCACCCTTCCTTTCCCTGCTTGCAGCTGGCTCAGGCTGGGGCCGTGGGCAGTCAGGGGGCTAAGCTGCTTCTGGAGGTGAGTGAGCGCGTGAGGACCTTGACACAGGCCTACTTCTCCCCGGAGCGGCCCCTGCATCTTTCCTTCACCCACCTGGTGTGCCGGAGTGCCATAGAAGGTAACCACCAGGGAGCCTAGCTGTTCCTCCCCAACCCCGGGCCCCTGTTGGGCACTGCACCCCCCCCCGCATCCCCAAACCTGGTGGGCTTTCTGACTCCCCTGCCCGGGTGAGGGCTTGGCTCCTCTGTCCAGCCGTGATTCCCCGAAGCTGCAGGGGGAGTGTGGGCGGCAGTGGATGGGCACAGGGGCATGCAGCAGGCCCCTATGCTTCCCAGGAGAGCAAGACCAGCGCATGGACCTGAGTCACCCGGTGCATGCAGACAATTGTGTCCTGGACCCCGACACCGGGGAGTGCTGGCGGGAGCCCCCAGCCTACACCTATCGAGACTACAGGTGGGCAGCCCCCCCAGGGGTCAGGTGGGTGGGCCTGGGTTGGGGTCTCACTGCCTGCGCCTTCCTCCCTTTGCAGTGGGCTTCTCTACCTCAACGAAGACTTCCGCGGTGGGGACCTGTTCTTCACAGAGCCCAATGCGCTCACGGTCACAGTAAGCCGGGTGGGGGGCGTGGGGGTGTGGCGGGGACCCCAGCTGTGGGCTCTGAATTCAAAACAGGAGCTTCCCAGAGACAAATGCAGGGAAATGGCTGGGGCCCCCTTAACCCTTTCTTTCCTTTCTGGCTTCCCTTGCCCTCTCTACCATGTGTCTGGGTTTCGGGGGTTCTAGTAAAGGTTGATTACACCTCCCCGGGAGATCTCTTGTGGCCCTTCCAAACCCTGCCTTCAGTGTTTGCCTCACTCCCTCAAGGAGGGTGGATAAAGCGCAGGTCCCCAAGGCCCTAGTCCAGGTAGAAACCAGGGGCTGGAATTGGGCAGAAGGAGAGGGACAGTGATTTTGCATCATCTGCTGCTCTGTCTTACCCAGTTACCTCCTTCTCTGCTAACTGCCACCAGCTACCGATGATGCATGGCCTCTCTGAGGTAGAAAAATATCCCCAAGATCCTTATCCCCAGTACCCAGAGTCTGGTACTGCATTCATACCCTCCGATTGCTTCACACCTGGGATTCAAAGGTTGAGCAGGAAAAGTCAAGGCCTGGGCAGGGGGTGGGGAGGCCCTCCACGGAGCCCCCTTTCCTTTGGCTCTGACTCCTCTAGCCTCAGTCTGGCATTTGTGCTCCCCAAGTTGAGGCCAACTTCCCATTTCCCCCCAGGATGGTCCCTAAATTAAGGAATGGGAAGTGATGGGCAGGAGAGCTGAACTCTTTGCGCCCCGGCCCGCCACCTGCCGTAGGGAGTCAGGGCCAAGTGCTCTGAGAGCACCCATCTGTGGCGCTGAACCTGCCCTCATCCCTCAGGCTCAGGTTCGTCCTCGCTGTGGACGCCTCGTGGCCTTCAGCTCCGGTGGGGAGAACCCCCACGGTGTGTGGGCCGTGACGCGGGGACGGCGCTGCGCCCTGGCACTGTGGCACACGTGGGCGCCTGAGCACAGGGAGCAGGTGAGCAGCAGCCGGAGTAGGAAGGGCTGTCTCTCCTGGTGTGTGAAGGATGAGGGGCAGGGGCCGAGACGTCCCAGGGAGGGTCCTTGGGGGCAAGGTGATGCAGGAGGTTGGGCCAGACTCTCCTCCCTACTCCCCAGGAGTGGACAGAAGCCAAAGAGCTGCTGAAGGAGCCGGAGGAGGAGGAGGAGGAGGATGAGGAGGAAGAAATGCCCAGCAAAGACCCTTCCCCGGAACCCCCCAGCCGCAGGCTTCCGCGGGTCCAGGACAAGGCTGGGAAACCGCCTCGGCTCCGAGAGGAACTGTGAGGGACTGAGCCAGCTCCTTGGGGATGTGGCCACTTGACTTGTGAAGGGCCGCCTTGATGCCAGGACCCACAAGAAGCCCCCATGTGCTGGGAGCAGAACAGTGAGCTGTCTGTCCCTGCACCCCTACTACCTTGGGGACCACAAGGGCTGTCCAGCCCTGGACTCAGAGGACACTGCACAGACTAGCCTAGAGCTCACCAGGCCTGGCTGATGGACCTCCAGCCCGAGGACAGACCGAGGACACGATGCCTCCCTGGAAAGAAATGGCAGGGGAGAGGGCCTGACTGCTTCACGTGTGGAGGATGAGAGGGAGGCTAACCCCAGTGCCCTGTCCCAGCCTGTAATAAAGAACTGAAGATCCCTCAGTCAAGGGCCCAGACAAGGGTATCACGGTTTCTGTGGTGTCTGCAGTGGGCAGTGCCTGTGGCTGGCCTGGGAGGAGACAGGTGTCGTTGGGCCTCCCAGAGGCGGGGCCGCTCAAAGCCTGTGATTTGTCAGGGAAATCCCAGCCACCTGCTCCCCATATGCAAATGGACCCAGACCCAGACAGCTGCTCCCTGGGCCTCCAACTCTAAGCCCCGTCTTCCCTCTCCCAGCTTGGCCAAGACGTAGGGCCGCCTGATCCCTCGGGTTCCAGCCTTCACAACCCCAGCAGGACCCTGTGAGTCATGGGGGCAAGGAGTGGGCCAAATCCCAGATGGAAGCCAGGTCGGGGTTGAGCCCCACTTCCCACCCTTTGTCCACTCAAAGCAGGGGCCACCCTGTCCAGTCTTTTTCTCTGGATCCCCTGTACCTTCCCCGCCCCCAGATCAGACCCAGGGGCAGCTGGTTGGGGTTTGTTGAGAAGAAGGATTATCCAGATCAGTCCCATCTAATCTCAGCTCCTGCCTGTACCCTCCCCATATTCACCTGAACCTCCTTCCCCGCAACCCTGAACTTAGGGACGAAATCTTGGGTGTTGATAATGGGCTACCTCTCACCCTCATATTCTGGCTCCTGGGCTGGTTGCTAGGCACGCCCTGACTGCCACGATCAGCATTGGTGGGGGCTGGGGCAGGGGGTGGGGGCACTGGGCTGTGGTTGCTTCTCTTCTGTACCCCTCCCAAACCCCAACCTTTAATCCTCACAGCTTTGCTCTAATCCCAAGGGGCCTGATGCTCTTATCTCTGCCTACAGGGAGACTGGCCAGGGAAGCACCCCCTTCCACCCCTCCTCCCCCCGGGGCTTGTGGGGGGCTGCTCCTCTCTATAGCCCCAAACTCTTGCTCCCACCTAAGCTCCCCCCCGCCCCGGGCTGGGCCCAAGTCTGTCTGGAAGCCACACACCTCCCTTCCTGCCCTCTCTCGCTCCCTGCCTCGGCCCCCGCCGTTGCCAGCTGATTTCATTTGCCTGATGTTGTCGTCGTTGGCCCTACCTTCTCTGTCAGTGCCCCCCCCAACCCCCCCGGAGCTGGGGCCAGGCCAGGCCAGCTCCTCTGGCAGCAGAGCCGGGGCAGGTGACGGGCTGGCGTCGCAGCTGAGGGAGTAGAGAGGCGCCTGGGCACCGGAGCTGGAAACCCAGGAGAGGTCCAGTCAGAGTCCAAGTAAGAGGGAGCTGGCGCGGCTCTGCTGCCCGGGGCCGGGGCTGCAGGGAGGGCTCGGGCAGGGCCGGGCTTGGCGCACAGGACTCCACACGTGGAGGGGCTCGTCGGGAGCTGGTGCGGGCCCCCTCCCCCAGGCATCTCTCTACTTCTTGTAGTGGGCTGCAGGCCTGGAGTCTGGTGCGGGTGTGAGGGACAGGAACATGGCCTGGTGGGGACCCCCTACACCTACCCCATGTTCCTGACAGGAGCCGGAACTACCCCTCAACCTGTCAGCCATGGGGGAGATGGAGCAGCTGCGGCAGGAAGCAGAGCAGCTCAAGAAGCAGATTGCAGTAACCCCACAACTCTCCCACTGGGGGACCCCAGAAAACATGGAACCCAGGACACGAGGGAGTGTGGACCAGGGTGGTGGGTGGGGGCAGGAAGGAGGCCGGCTTTGCTCTTGAGTGAAACCTTAGAGACCCCTGACCTGGCAGGGACCAGAGACTTCCTGAACTTGGATCTCATATTTGAGGTGCCCCCCAAACCCTAGAGCCCCAAGCCCACCTACCTCAGAGGCCCATGCACCCACTACCCCCACCTTGCCCTTATGACCCCCTGATGACTGCTTTCCCCCGCAGGATGCCCGGAAAGCCTGTGCCGACATTACTCTGGCAGAGGTGAGACCTCCTGTCCCCCCCCCGCCCGAGGCAGGGCCAGAGGGGAGTGGAGGGGAGTGGAGGGGAGGGGAGCTCCCCGACCAGCAAGAACCTGGCGCCTGAGCTTTAGTACAACATGTCCTTGGAATGAGGAATGGCATTAATTAATTCATTCAACAAACATTTAGTGAGATCTGCTGTGGGCCAGGCACCTTATTGGAAGCTAAGGATGCAGATGCTGTCTCAGTCCTCAACCGTACAGTGAGGACGGTTATACCCCCTCACGGTGTGGCGAGGATGAAGAGGGACGGCACTTTGTAAATCATAAAGCCCTTATAGAGCAGTTTCTAGTTTTCTAATAGTGTATGTCATCAATTCTAAAGTCACATCTTTTCACATTTTGACATCTCTGAGATCAAGATGCAGCCCAAAATAGACGATGCCTTACAATTATAATTGGCAGCATTTTTTTTTTCTTTCTCAGTGATACTTTTTTTTTTTTTTTAAAGATTTTATTTATTTATTCATGAGAGACAGAGAGAGAGAGAAGCAGAGGGAGAAGCAGGCTCCCAAGGAGCAGGGAGCCCGATGCGGGACTCGATCCCAGGACTCCGGGATCATGACCTGAGCCGAAGGCAGACGCTTAACCGTCTGAGCCACCCAGGCGCCCTTTCTCAGTGATACTTAAAAGCATGGTGCTTCATAGAGTTGGTGTCATCTTATGTTGGATTAAATACGTTAATAGTTAGAGTGAACATTGAACGCTTGCCGTGAGCCCAACACTGGGCTAAGCTGCTTCAATACATAATTTCATTTAATTTTCACAACAACCCCAGAAGTTGATGCTATAAACCTTGTTTTACAGATGAGCAAACAGGCTCAGAGAGGGTAAGCAACTTGCCCAGGACAACAAAGCAAGTAAATGACAAGTCAAGGCCATTGACTTGAGCCCCAGCCAAAATCGAGAGGCTGGATGGAGTGTAAGGGACATAGGACCGCAAATTTCGGGAGGTGCAGTTCAGGGTCACGGGGCTGCCCCGGGTAGCCAGTGGAAGAGACAGACATGCGGCAGTGTCGTGGGGGGCCGGGCTCCTAGCAGCTCAGGACAGCGGATGTGCCCCTCTCTTCCCAAGTCCGTGTTCAGTGACTTCACACTGGCAGCTTGAAATTGGTCAAGGTGGGAGTATTTCCACGATGGACATCACTCTCCCGCCCCCACCTCCGCCGCTAGCCCGCGCTGGAGAGATGCTTGTTCAACACTTGGCAACGTGCCACTGGCCATGCCCGGTCTCTCCCACCTCAGTTTAAGCCGCCGCAGGGCAGAGACTTATTTCTCTAAGGCTGGGAGCCTGACCCCAGAGCCTGGCACAGAACAGAAACTGGTCCGGATCGGTGGCTGTGATGCTGACATCTAGGCATGTACCCTACTCACCCTGATTTCTAGTGCCCCCTTTTCTGCAGCTGGTGTCGGGCCTCGAGGTCGTGGGAAGAGTCCAGATGCGGACGCGGCGGACGTTAAGGGGACACCTGGCCAAAATCTATGCCATGCACTGGGCCACCGACTCCAAGTGAGGCTTGAGGGGCACCCAGGGGTGGGGGGACAGGCAGGAAGGAGAGGCTTGGGTGACGTGGGGTGCCCTCTCCCCAGGCTGCTGGTAAGTGCCTCGCAAGACGGGAAGCTGATCGTTTGGGACACCTATACCACCAATAAGGTAGCTGCCTCCCCAGCCCTCCCATCACCCTGTGATTCCTTGGGGGCTTTGTGCCTCCCCTCCTCTGCCCTCCCCACCTGGGAGCTCAGTTCAGGTCCTGCCTCCCACCCTCCTGCAGGTGCACGCCATCCCGCTGCGCTCCTCCTGGGTCATGACGTGTGCCTATGCCCCATCAGGGAACTTTGTGGCATGTGGGGGGCTGGACAACATGTGCTCCATCTACAGCCTCAAGTCCCGTGAGGGCAATGTCAAGGTCAGCCGGGAGCTCTCTGCTCACACAGGTGAGTGAGAGACCCTCTCTTCCCGTCCCTGTTGTGAGAGGCCCAGGGATGTGGCCCTGCAGCCCGGCCGCTGTCCTCACCCACCCCTAGGTTATCTCTCCTGCTGCCGCTTCCTGGATGACAACAACATCGTGACCAGCTCCGGGGACACCACTTGGTGAGGACTGAACCCTGCGGGTGCCGGGGCTTGGGCGTGGCTCTGTCCTGGGCTTTCTGTGACAGGGTGACAGCTCCCCCTCCTCCCGGCAGTGCTCTGTGGGATATCGAGACTGGGCAGCAGAAGACCGTGTTTGTGGGCCACACGGGGGACTGCATGAGTCTGGCTGTCTCTCCTGACTTCAAACTCTTCATTTCGGGCGCTTGTGACGCCAGCGCCAAGCTCTGGGACGTGCGGGAGGGAACCTGTCGGCAGACTTTCACTGGCCACGAGTCGGACATCAACGCTATCTGCGTGAGCCCCCCTCTGCGCCCCAACTCCCGGGACCTCCTCACCAGCCCCCCCCACATCCTTCATCCCTTCCCCAGCTCCCTCACCCCCTCTTTGTAACTTTCCTGGTTGGAATGATTTCACCTTACAGAAAGGTTGCGAGAGTAACCCAATCAGCTTCCATCTACCCTTCGCCCATATTCACTGCTGACGTTTTTACCACGTTTGCTTTAGCATTCTCTCTGTGTAGATGGAGGGAGGGACGGATGGAAAGACAGACACATACACCTAGATGTGGACATAGATATGTTTTATTACCTTTTCTTTTCCTCTTTGGAGAGTAAGTTGCAGATATCATGCCTCTTTACCCCTTAAATACTTCAGTGTGTATTTCTTAAAAACAAGGCCATTCTCTAACGTAGTCACAGTATAATTCTTAAAATCAGATTGAACAATGACACAATATAGTCTATAGCCTATATTCACATTTCACCAATTATCTCACGAATGTCCTTAATAGCCGTGTTTTTTTCTGTCTAGGAACATGCATCACATTTCCTTGCCGTATCTTTTCAGTTTCCTTTAAACTGGAACCTTTTTTCTATCTTCCTTTGTCTTTTGGGGCCTTGACATCTTTGAAGAGTGCCACTCAATTTTCTTTAGGCTTTCCATCCCTTTGAGTTTATCTGACATTTCCTCGTGATGAGATTCAGGTCACGCATTTACACTTGGCCCTGCACGTCCACATCCTGATCCAGCCCTGAGCCCGGAGTCAGGGACAGCCGCCGCCCTTCTAGCCATGTGACCCTGGGCAAGCCGCCCGCCCTCCCTCAGCCTCGCAGCGTGCAAATAATGCCTGCCTGCTTGCGGGGTGGCGAGGGGCCGAGCGATGGGTGTCGGGTGGCCAACTGGCATGCAGCTGGCTGGGATAAATGTCAGAAATGAAGAGTGCTGGGGAAGGGCCGGGCAGAGAGCCTGAGGGAAAGCGCTTGCGCTGGAGCCACCAGGGCGGGAGCCAGGGAGAGGGCGGGAGCCAGGGAGAGGGCGGGAGAGGTAGCAGGCGCCCGGGGCTCAGTCCTGACCCCCTTGCCACCTGTACTCTCAGTTCTTCCCCAACGGAGAGGCCATCTGCACAGGCTCGGACGACGCCTCCTGCCGCCTGTTTGACCTGCGGGCAGACCAGGAGCTGACTGCCTACTCCCACGAGAGCATCATCTGTGGTATCACATCCGTGGCCTTCTCCCTCAGCGGCCGACTGCTCTTTGCAGGCTACGACGACTTCAATTGCAACATCTGGGACTCCATGAAGTGCGAGCGTGTGGGTAAGGGCCGGCCAGCAACCCCCCCCACCCCGCCACCACCTCGGCTGGAAGGACCTTCCTATTAGCTCCCCTTTTTGGGACCCTCTTTCTACTGCTCCTAATTGCTGGATGACTCTGAGCTCTGCCCCTAGAATCCAGTCCCCCTTGGTTCCCAACCTAGACCGTCATCTCTAGTGGCCCTTCTCCACCGCCCAATGCTCTAGCTGCTTCCTGCCAAAGGAGCTCCTGTGTCACCCGAGATCTGGGGATGTCCAGTCTCTTCTGGATTTCCAGGGCCTCTGAAGTGTCAGGGGCATCCACTGGAGGAAAGGGCAATCTCAGGGAACTGTAATAAGCAGAATCAAGGAGATCTAGCGTGACCCCAACCTTGGGACTTAACTAGAACCACCCTGGTCTGAAGCTGAATCAGATAGTGTGGCTTCTCTTGGGAGAGGCCAGGTGCTGAATGAAAATAACACTGGCCAGAGAGTCAGGATCCAAATCTGAATTCTGTTGCTTAGGATCTGAGAGCCCTTGGGCAAGTCACTTCTCTTGGGGCCTCAGTCTCTTCATTTGGAGACTCAGGAATGAGACTAAAGAGCAACCTCCCCATTTTCTAGTGCCCATCAAGGTGCTCCTTGCTTTTTTCATAGCACATCGACACTGCCGACCTTTCCTGTCCCTCCCGGCCCCCCACCCCGCCCTCCACAGAGATTGGCCTCAAGAGAAACCCTGCCCCTTAGGGTAATCCTCTTTGAGTCCCCACCAGAGGCTGAGTCCATGGCCAATCTAACCTAGGATTCCTGCAGACGCACATGCGCTCTCTGCCAAAGCAGCACAAGCAAACAGGCTGACTCCTCTCTCTCTTCCTCAGGCATCCTTTCTGGCCATGACAACAGGGTCAGCTGCCTGGGGGTCACAGCTGATGGGATGGCTGTGGCCACTGGCTCCTGGGACAGCTTCCTCAAAGTCTGGAACTAAGGAGGCTGGAGGAGGGGAGGTAAAAGGCCATGAAGACACTCAGTTGCCCCCTCCCCTGCCCAATTTTCTTTTAAGATTTCTTTTAAGGTTTTTTTCTTCTACACCCCAGCTGCCACTCCCACCCAGCTTTGTCCTTTGAGGGCAGCAGGGAAAACGGGGGTATGCCTATGGGAGGCAGCAGCAGGGACACAGGGGCAAAGAACTGCCCCATCTCCTCCCATGGCCTCCCCTCTCCATCGTCCTGCAGCTTCTTCCTCACTGGGCAAGGACAACTGACCTCTCCCCTAGCCCTTGGCAGGCCTACCAGGCTTCCAGTCTGAGGCCCCAGGCCCTGGAATTCCTCCCCCAGAGCCACTACCTTTGTCCAGACCTGGGTGGCAGAGGGTGCTCCATCCTGTGACTATGGCTCTGGCACCACTAGGATCCTGGCCCCTTTCTTCACGATTTCTCCCCTTTCTACCTTCTTTATTTCCCTCCTAAAGGACCTGCAATAAAGTGTAGTGCCCTGGTATGTCTGTGATGTTTGGCTTCTGCCCCACTTCTATTCCAAAAAGACACAGGCCCAACTTAAGTAATAAGATATTACAGGTGCAGTGATAAAGGCTGGGTACCAAACAGCTTGGGGGCAGAAAGTAGGGTGGAGATGAAAGCCTAGGCCTCATGGAGAAGGCCTGAGACAGATCAGAAGATATTCACCAGGTGGCCAGCAGGGCATACGCCCCATCTGCGTATGTATGCGAATGTATAGGAAGGTTATGTTGAGAAAGAATCAGATTACAGAAGACCTTGAATACCAGCGGAGACTTTATCCTAAGGGCAATGGGGAACCACTGAAGAGTTCTGAGCGGCGGAGTCACATGGTCAGTTGTGCTTCTCAGAAAGGTCACCCTAGCGGCGGGTGTAGGTTGATGAAATGGTGGGAAGGGAGACTGGAAGGAAACAAGGCAGGAGGGAGATGGCAAGAAATCAAGAGCGGGAGGGACGCCTGAGTGGCTCAGTTGGTTAAGCGACTGCCTTCGGCTTGGGTCATGATCCTTGGGTCCTGGGATCGAGTCCCGCACTGGGCTCCTTGCTCAGCGGGAACCTGCTTCTCTCTCTGCCTGCCGCTCCCCCTGCTTGTGCGCTCACTCGCTCTCTCTGACAAATAAATAAAATCTTAAAAAAAAAAAATCAAGAGCGGTAGGACAGGGGGCCAAGGAAAGGGATGGGGAAGAGATGAAAGATACAGAATCACCAGAATTTAGTGCTAGGGTATGGGATATTAAAAGGGAGGCATTCAAGATAATGGCCAAAGTTCAGGTCTGGATAACAGGGGGTATAATCAGGGATAGAGAATATGGGATGAGGAATAGCTCTGGGGGAAAGAGCAGAAATTCAACTTTAGATAAACTGACTCTGTAGTGCCTACAGGGCAGCTGGATAAAGGTCAGGGCTAGTTGGAGGGACCTGGAAGTTACCAGAATATAAGTGAATGATAGCTAAAGCCCTAGAAGTGAACACCTAGGGAGAGCAAGAGAAGGCCAAGGACAGACCTCTGGGGAACCCCAGGATTTAAGGGAAGCATGTGAAAGAGGCTTGGAGGACAGGGAACCCAAGTTCCTCAGGCTGCTTTTCTACATACAGAAGCCCACTGCAAGGTTTAGGTAGAACACTTGAAAACATCATTTAAAACCACGTTCTTTAATATACAAGAAACACATGAGACACAAAGACAGCCCAAGAAAGCGCTCAGTCCCCGAGCTGGGAGTTTAGGGGGGCGTTGAAGACAACAAGCCTTTCCAGTCTCCCAGGGAAAGATGGGGTTGAGGGGACGCAACATCACTAGGCCCCGGGTGAAGCCAGTGCTGGGGCCATACTCGGCCTAGTTCTCCACCAAGTTTGGAAAGTGCTGATTTTCCTTGTCCTGATCCTGGCCCTGCTCCCACACTCGGCCTCCAGTTTTCAGAAGTCGTCCAGTTCCCAGAACGGCCCCTTCCTTTAGCTCCCTAGCATTGTCACTCAGGGGAGAAGGCCGCTTACCCTGCCAAAAGCAGTGTGTGAGTTGGAGCAGGGAGGGACGTTGTTCAAGAGAGCGAAGATTGGGTAAAAAGGCTTCCCACCCTCTACCCTGGATTTCTTAGTAACGGTTTTCACCCTCTCTCCCTTTACCTGTCGTGGTGTCAGAGTTCCAGGGGAGTTGTCATCCTGTAGGATTGCAAGGGGAGATCTCCCTAGTACCTTGCCATTTGCTTTCCGTCTATTGTGCTTAGAACCTAGGGTGGGTAAAGAGATAAAGCCAAAAGCCAAAATTAGGGGCTTACAGTTTATTCCTCCTACACTCATCCGTGGACATTATCCCGATTTCTCTTCCCTCTACCTTGCCCTTAGATTCTGTACCTGAAGATCGGGGAGTCTCAGGGTCTCTCAAGGGCTTGTCCAAGCCCTGGCTGGCCATGGGGGTTTCTGAGGGTTGTCCTACTTCCTCCTTGGAGAACACCTGCTTGGAGGGGAGCTCAGTCTGCCTCCAGGGTGGCATCTGGTCTTCAAGGGAAAACTGGGTGCCCAGAGGCAAGTCCAATTCAGAAGATGAAGTTGCCTCTAAGGGCAGAACAGGCTCCGGGGGCAGATTCGATCTGGGGGCTTCGGTCTCAAATACTTCACTCAGCTGTTTCACCAGTGGGCTTGGGGGTTCTAGAGGGGAGAAGTCAAGTGAGATAGTGATGCAATGATACAAACCATTCAGCAAGGAGGAAAAGATACAGGAACTTTAGGATTCATGCCCTGGTGGGTGAGGGATTGGGAAGAGAGAAATCAAGGTGAGAGGAGAAATGTTGAGAGAAGAGTGAGATTGGTTCAAAGCAAGAGGACGGAGGCTCCTTTAAGAAGGAGCTCTCAGAAGATGGCTTCATTGGCCTAACCCACGGACGCTAGGTGACAGCCTTACCAAAATTCCCTGGGCCCACCATTTACCTCCGCTGCTGGTCTTCATAGGTGTCCGTGCAATGCCAAGAGTAGGAGAGCGGGGATCTGAGTCTTGGGCCTGATTGGGACCCTCCAGCGGCTCCCCTGCTGGTAGGTTTGGCTGTGGAGAGCTCTCCACCTGGTAGAACCAAAGGCTACAACAAGTCTGGACCCTGACTCTTTCTTCCGTCCCAGGTCTCTAGCCCCAGGTGGATATTCCAGGCAGGCACTGCCAAAGCCCCTCAGGCATTCCGCCTACCCCATCCGGATTAAGAAAGTGGAAAACAAGGCCTCAAATAGAAAGAGGAGGAGGGCGTGAGGGCTTTCTCAGAATCAGGTTAGGCAGAAGCCCAAGAATTCCGACTCTGCCTCCCCCACCCCGGCCCGGAGTACCTGGATGGGAGTGCGCAGGATGCCGGCACTAGGTGAACGGGGGTCCGCCACTCGGGCCAGAAGCTTGTTGTGCGGCGGAGGCCGCGCCGGAGTGACTGGGAAGCTCTTGGCTGAGCCCATCTCAACCAGGAAGAATAAGGTGGGGCAGGGCCCGGCCCGGGGCGAGGAGGGGACGCCTGTGAGAAATGACTCAGGTCTCAGCCATTGCCGCGACCACGTCTGACCTCTGACTGCAGACCACCCGATCTTCCCGGTTCCCAGTCGAGGAGCCGTCCGGCCGCTGGGCCAGAGGCCTCTGTGGAGATAATGACTGGTGCAGCTGACAGGCCGGCTCGTTCCGGGCCCGCTGGTCCCTCTAACTTACTCAGTAATTAATTCAAATCACTTACCAGGCCCCGATTCCTCTCTTGGGTGCACAGCAGCTCGAGCCTCAACTCCCGACGCCGAGTTTCAAACCTCCCGCCACGCCCCCTGCTTTGACCCTATTGGTGGAGCCGACGCAGGGCCCTATAGGCCTCCTTGTGAGACCCGCCTCCAGTGCAGGAAGCCATTGGGCTGGGACGACGTCTATCATGAGGACCATTGGGCCAATGAGCAGCGGCTCGGCTTGTCCAGGGCTGACACCGCCCCGATAAGGGGACTTTGTCCCGCAACGGGTTCCGAGTTGTCCGTCGTGAGACTTTGAGGAGTGCCAGTCTTCGCTTTTACGACCTTCAGTTTCTAAGCCAAATGATCTTATTAAAAAAATAGAGTCATGAAGTTTTACGCGATTTTGTACAGATCCAGCTGGAGACGAAGTTGTGAAGGTTTTTCTGAGGCGACAGAGATAGTAATCCTTATTGGTTGACGGAGTTATCAATCACTCGACACCAACCCTCTCAAACTCCGCCTCATTGGACAGCCCCTTTTCAAATACCAAGAGTACAACTGGCCTTCTATTTTCCGATTGGACAGGACCCAGGAAAGTTTCTGGGATTGATTGGTTTAAACAACCGTCAGTTTCTGCTCTTTGATAGAAGGCACGCGAAGGGACTGTAGGGCTCCCAGAGTCCGAGCATCCAAAACTCGGGGACCCACCTCGCTGCTCTACTTGCGCTCTGCCCTTGGGAGCGTGGGATTGGTTCTTTCGACCATCGGTTGCATTAGAAGGGCTTTTCATTGGCGTTAGCCAAGAGTAGGGCAGAGGGCGGAGCACTAGTAGGCAGGCTGCGTCCAACTGCCATTCTCGCGCGTCCTCCCTTTAGCGCATGCACCTAACGAGTAGTGCTCATTGGACGGCAAGCCTAGGGGGTGGGGGACTGGGAACGGTGGGAGCCGCTGTGTGTGGAGGAGCTGCTGCCGGTGTCATGGCGGAGCTGAGTGAGGAGGCGCTGCTGTCAGTATTACCGACGATCCGGGTTCCTAAGGCTGGAGACCGGGTCCACAAAGACGAGTGCGCCTTCTCCTTCGACACACCGGTAAGCCCATTCCCCACGCCCGCAGCGAGCACGACTTCCTTCCATCGCCCTGGTCATTCTGCCGGGGCCTGCAAGGTTTGGGCTACCGCCTCCCTGCGATGCACCATGGGACTTGTAGTCTCCCACGCTCCTCCCTGCCGTTGCATTCAATTAGCTGGAGCTGTCGTATGACTACCGCCCCCGGAAGGCACCGCGCCCGCCTCACCCGTTCCCCGTCTCGTGGAGCACTGTGGGGATCGTAGTCGCGCTCTCCCCTCATTGCCGTTCCAAGGCAGAGGCGTATCCCGATCGTCGGACTACATCCCCCAAGTGGACCCCTGCGAAAGCCTGGGAGTTGGCCTTGCCTGCCGCGCACGGCTCTCCGGGTTTTGTAGTCTCGTGCCGGAGGGATGGGGCGACCCCGCACTGTTCGGGGCCGGTGTTAGGGTTGGAGGGTGGGGACTGCAGTTCGTAGGCGCCTAGTAGTCTGGAAGGGACCGTGAAGAAGGCCAGTTCTGAGAAGGGCCAAGTTAGAGAGACTCCACCCATGGTTAATGTGGACAGGGGGCGGGGAGGTGGGTCATTGGTGGTAGGGAGGAGAGGAAAGAAGGGAGGAAAGCTCTAGTCTTTTCTCCTTTGAGGTGACCTGTGACTGCAGCCCCCTCTCTTTTTCCCGCCCATCACAGAGAGCAGAGGGAACCCTTTTAAAAGTATTCCCAGAGAGACGGTGTCTTTCGTGAAGGATACTAAGACCCCTTTCCCATCCCGGTCCCACCCTTGACTAGTTAGACAAAGCCTCCACCCACACCATGCTTCACGTTTTGCAGGCTCCACCCGGAACCTCTCTTCCTGCAGTTCTGCCTTCCTGTGTCACCCTCAAGCGGAGACTAGCCTTTGGCCTGGCCAGAGTCTTAACTGAGAGGGCAGCAGCCTGGTTGGGATCCGCCCCCCTCTCTAGCCCTCCCGACCAGCGGCCGCTGGGCCCTGCCCAGGGTGTTCAGCCAGAACAGCTCATGGCTGGGAAAACTGCAAGTCAGAGTGGAAAGGCTTCATTAATGCATCGCCAGTGCTGAGTATAGCAGCATGATCTAAGGCCCAGTTCAGGATCATCACTGTGATTTGTGGTTTGCTTGGTTTGCTAGGCTTTGATCTGAGCCTCAGACAATGTGCTGCTTCTCTGGAGTCTGGCTTTGGCAGAGCTGAAAGAGGATGGCTCAGAGCAGAGCTCCAGGGTTCCCAAGCCTTGGGGAAGCCAGCGTTTATTTCCAACAGAGGAGTTCGGTTACCGTGGAGCTCCCACATGCCACCCAGTTCATCAAGTGCAGGGCTTGGTGAAGCACTGTCTTCCTCAGGAGGGAAAGGTTTTTCTTAATTACCAACAGATGGTAGAAGTCAGTGGCTCCCTCTTCTCATTTCTGTCTGTCTCTCCTTGGTAACTGCTTCGAATAATCCAAATGGTGTTTTTGTAAGCTTGTTATACTTTCCTTCTCTCATCCCAAGTCAGGAGATCTCCAGTGTGGCTTAGTTGCTTTCCTAACCAACTACCAGCGTGTTTGATTATCTTCAAATTGGGTTCATGGTGGAAGAGAGCTTATTTGACTTCCCTGATGAAAAATGTTCCATTTGCTCATCAACATTGTAATCCACACTGTTCTAGGGAATGGTACAGAGCAATCTATGGGACCAAGAACTAACTGCCTTAGACAGTGCCCTATTTTTCATATCACAGCAGAGAATTTGTCAAGGCCACTGAGACGTTTATTCAAGGAAGAAGATGCCTGTCATTGCTTGGATCTGAGGGAAGACTCTTGTTTTCTCCATTTATCTCCTCCACCTTATCCATCACTATTCACAAAGGCACTGGCAGACTTGTTGTGTTTTAGAGAAGCTCATCCTCCCTCCTTAGCCGTGATTTAGGGTGGACCCTTGTCTTTCCCTGTTTTCTTCCTGGGTTATATGTATTTTAGCTGTCTTAGCAGGTGTTGCTAGATTATTCTACAGAGGGAATGGCTTTGAGGTTGGCAGCTGATGGACGTCAGTGGGGATTTAGTTATTGGTCAGAGGGGAGACAGCAGGGTAGTGGCTGGAGAATGCTGGTCTTCATGTCTCTGTCAAACTAGGCCCAGGTATAGCAGTGAGCCCCAGCCCCAGGTATAGCAGTGTTTTGTTTGTTTGTTTGTTTTTAAGATTATTTATTTATTTGACAGAGACACAGCGAGAGAGGGAACACAAGCAGGGGGAGTGGGAAAGGAGAAGCAGGCTTCCCACGGAGCAGGGAGCCCGATGCGGGGCTCGATCCCAGGACCCTGGGATCCTGACCTGAGCCGAAGGCAGACACTTAACCGACTGAGCCACCCAGGAGCCCCCAGACAAGGCATTGTTACCCTGGAGCCAGGCTTTAGCAGGAAAGGAGGGAGAAGCCTCAGCGTGGACCAAGGTTTGACGACCTAGTAGGGTGTGGTAAAGGAAAAGTCTGGGCTTGCTGGCAAGCTCAGGAGCTGGGTGTATTGTTCAAGTTTTAGAATCTCGGCTCCTCCAGTCCGGAAAGTTTTCTGAGTCCTGGAGATGAGGCAGAGTTTGTCATTGTGTCCCTGGTGTAGGTTCTGTGTCTGACATGCAGGCCTTTCTTCTCCAAGGAAAGGACCCCTTTTCCCTCTGAATATAATCACTGGCACTGGAAGTCCATGGTATTTGATTCCCATTTACCTCAAGGAGAGAGGTAAAGGGGGGTGCCTGGGTGACTCAGTCTGCCTTTGGCTCAGGTCATGATCCCGGAGTCCTGGGATCGAGTCCTTTGTTGGGCCACCTGCTCAGTGGGGAGCCTGCCCCTCTTTCTCCCACTCCCTCTGCTTGTGTGCTTGCACTCTCTCTCTCTCAAGTAAATAAAATCTTTAAAAAAAGAGATAAAGGGAGTTCTCTATAATTGATTGGAAGGCTCCAAAGGCCAAAGAAGGAACAAGAAGGAAGAGGAGTGGTGACTGACAGGTGTTGCTCAGCCCCTGGTATCCTTGGTTGTTACCAAAGTCATAGGAGAATGGGGAAAATCTTTGCCATGTACTGGGTCCTAAAAGGCTAAATGACTGCCAAGAGCCACATGGTGTTGAAGAACAGAGCTTTTCTTTTGGAACCCAGCAGTGTCTGGCCCTAGGTCTTGGTTTCCCCACCAGGCTTCATCCTCCCTGTGTTTTCTCCCCTGCTTCTTCTTGTACTGCAGGAGTCTGAGGGTGGCCTCTACATCTGCATGAACACATTCCTGGGCTTTGGGAAACAGTATGTGGAGAGACATTTCAACAAGACAGGCCAGCGAGTCTACCTGCACCTCCGGAGGACCCGGCGCCCGGTAGGGACAGGGCTGGGGCAGGGCCTGGGGATATTCAGGCACAGGCCCCTGGGCCTCCATTTTGAATCTGTCTCTTCTGTTCTGACCTCCGATTGGCCTCAATTTCCCCCTCACCTGTTTCTGTTGGTATCATTAGAACTCAGCACCTGTGTTTTTTGAGCTCCGTTCCCTTCTAAGATTAACCCACTCTGTCCTGTCTGTCCTCCCCATTTGCTGACCCCGGCCCTTCCTGCGTCACTGCAGAAAGAGGAGGACCCCACTACAAGCACTGGAGACCCCCCCCGCAAGAAGCCCACCCGGCTGGCTATCGGTGAGCGCCATCACAGTCCTGTTCTTCCTGAGCTGGTCTTCCCCGCTCTTAGACGTTCTAGAAAGCCCCAAAAGAATGGGCCTGATCAGTGGCCCACAGTGAGATGCTGTATCAGAGGAGGGGCATTTACCTGGGGTGGTTGTCCTACCCTCCCTCCTCTTCCCTGTTTCGCCAGGCATGGAAGGCGGGTTTGACCTCAGCGAGGAGAAGTTTGAATATGATGAGGATGTGAAGATTGTTATTTTGCCGGATTACCTGGAGATTGCCCGGGATGGGTTGGGGGGACTGCCTGACATCGTCAGAGATCGGGTACGAATACTTTCCCGCCCTACCAGGGTCTCTAGGGCAAGCGGGGCCCGAGCAGTGATGTCTTGGGCAAGCCCCGGGAGAGCTGGAGGCTGAGGGGCTAGAGGGGCAGGGGACGGGGGAGGGCTGGGTACCGTCTCTGACCCTCTGCTTCCCCCAGGTGACCAGTGCGGTGGAGGCCCTACTGTCGGCTGACTCAGCCTTCCGCAAGCAGGAGGTGCAGGCCTGGGATGGGGAAGTACGGCAGGTGTCTAAGCATGCCTTCAACCTCAAGCAGCTGGACAACCCTTCTCGAATCCCTCCCTGGTGAGGCCTGGCCCTTCCACCTTGGGGTACAACCCCCAGAACAGGGGGTTCTGGTGGGGAGAGGGTCAGGAGCAGGCTAAGGAGGGGGACTAGGGAAGATGAGCTCAGCAAAGGGATGTCTAGAGGAGAGGAGAGGAGAAGAGAGAGCTCTTGGACTGGCAGGGGGCCAATCCCATGACCCCTGACCCCTATCTCAGCTGACTTTCTTCTCCCTGGGTTAGTGGCTGGAAGTGTTCCAAGTGTGACATGAGAGAGAACCTGTGGCTCAACCTGACAGATGGCTCCATTCTCTGCGGCCGACGCTACTTCGATGGCAGTGGGGGCAACAACCATGCTGTGGAGCATTACAGGGAGACGGGCTACCCGTTAGCTGTCAAGCTGGGCACCATCACACCCGACGGAGCTGGTACTCCCTGCCCTCCCCTCCTCCAGCTCCCTCCATGCTGAAGTGTGTCTGAACTGTTACTCATTGTGTATGACACAAGTAACACGTCAGTACGTTCTCTTGATAAACAATGAAAATACCGCGGATGAGACTAAATCTTCAGTTAACCCCCGAAACCCAGTCCCTTTCTTAGAGGTTACATAACCAGCATTATCTGTTTAGCGAGTGTCCTTCCAAACCCATCGGACCCTAGCACCTTACCCTGCGTGGTAGAGTCACAAGTAACTCCAGCCCTCGCGCTCTTTCACCCCATCTTCCCAGCCAGCCAGTCTCCGAAGGGCCCATGACTTCGCTGCTACTCAGGGCAGCCAAGAGGGTTACCTTTACGGGCTCATCCTTCTGTCCCACCAGCGCCCCCTCGGGGCAGGGAGT